ACTCATGCGACCGGATGAGGATACTATTAGGGAAACAGCTGAAAAAACTAGGGCGGCGTTGGAGAAGCTGGTGGATGGTGCGTAACTGCCAAAATCGAGTATGTATTCAAGATGCTTGTGCTTATCTATGCACCTCTTCCAGCAAAAATCAAGGCGTCTCAACCAAAGCAAATCACCATGGCGAAAAAGGGGCCGACCTACGTAAAGTACACTCCAGCACAACCAAATAATGCCGTGACTTCGGGAGCCGCTTCTCGTGTGATTCGTATGGTTGAAGCACCCATTGACCCAATGGAACCTCCTCGCTTCAAGCACAAAAAAGTCCCTCGCCCTCCACCGTCCCCTCCGCCACCTGTGTTACATTCACCTCCTCGGAAAGTCACTGCTGAAGAACAGAAGAACTGGGTAATCCCACCGTGCATTAGTAACTGGAAGAACGCAAAAGGATACACTATCCCGTTGGACAAGCGACTGGCCGCGGATGGACGCGGCCTGCAAGAGGTAGTTCCGGCATTTTCCGTTGTTTCTGATTTCCCCTGACTTCTCTTGGCGCTACGTGCGCTTATACAGATAACGATCAACGACAATTTCGCAAAACTCTCTGAAGCGCTGTTTATTGCTGATCGTCATGCTCGAGAAGAAGTGCAAATTCGATCAGAGATGCAATCAAAGCTGGCGGCCAAAGAAAAACGAGAAAAGGAGGAAAAGCTTCGAATGCTAGCGCAAAGGGCTCGGGAGGAACGAGCTGGGCTGGTTTCAGGTGCGGGTGGAGAGGCCGCTGCACCTGCATCAGAGAGATCAGACGCATCATCGGATTCAGAAGACAGCATTGACGAGGAAGATCGCGCAAAGTTGAAAGAGCGTGAAGAGTTGAGGAGAGAGAGGCAGAAGCAGCGGGAACGTGAATTTAGAATGAGCCATATGGGGGCGGAAACCAAAGCCAGAGTATTGAGTAAGAGGTGAGGGGCGATGTAACACATGCTTGCTTGATTGTGAGCTAATCCACGCGTTTGTTCCCAGCACGGATCGGGACATTTCTGAGAAGATTGCACTCGGTCTTGCGCAGCCAACAATGTCAAAAGAATCAATGTTTGACCAGCGGCTCTTCAACCAGGATCAAGGGATGGGCTCTGGCTTTGGAGCGGAAGATTCCTACAATCTGTATGATAAACCCTTGTTTCAGGGCTCTTCTGCCAATGCAATCTACAGACCAAAGAAGGCTGAAGAGGCTGTCGGTGGGGTGGCAGCAGAGAAGATCGAAAAGATGCTGGGCGAAAGCGGACCGCATCGGGGATTTCAGGGCGCGGATGGTGCAGTCAGGGATGGTCCTGTTCAGTTTGAGCGGGAACAAGCAGATATTTACGGTATCGACGAATTCTTGTCTACCGCGAAGCGAGGAAGGGACAAGGACGAAGGAAGTTCATCGAGAAGGGATGGCAAGCGTTCGCGGAGGGATTAGGGTCTGTTATAGTTTATGGTTTATGTTCTCGTGAAAAATAATATGATGGACCGTTTAAAAGCTTCGTTCTTGCTTTATATTCGTTATTTTGTGGTGGGTTAAAAGGACTGCTTCATCATGCATCGGGTAAGCAGATCTCGTTGGCAAGATCTTTGTATCACAGTGAGTCATCCACGACAAGTTTTCGCAACATCGTCCCGCAGCGATCAGGACGGTAGAAATTGGGCTTTAGGATTTCATTGGTTTGCCGTTGTAGGCAGAGGTGAGTGCAGCAAATGTGGAAATACTAGCGGCGCTACCGGTGGTTTGATCGTTTGACTACTCTTGCATCCAGACACGAATTGCAAGAATGGACTTTTCAGATCTGAACGATCGGCTTCTCTTCGCCATCCCAAAGAAGGGACGTTTGCACGAACACTGCTTGACCCTTCTCAAAGGCGCCGACATTCAATTCCATCGTCGCAACCGGCTCGATATTGCCCTTTCTACCAACCACCCAATCGCACTAGTGTTCCTCCCTGCCGCTGATATTGGGACATTCGTCGGGGAGGGCAACGTGGATATTGGTATTACTGGCCAGGACATGGTGGTCGAGTCCAGAGCGAATGTGGAAGAACTTCTCCAGCTTGGATTTGGAAAATGCAATCTTTGCGTACAGGTGCCCATAAGTAGTCCAGTAAAGAGTGCCCGCGACTTGGTGGGCAAGCGGATTGTAACGAGCTTTGAATCTGTTGTGAGAAGGTAGGGAAGAAGCATAGCCCCATGTGCATCTCGTGGGTCTGTAATTGGCCATACAATACTCAACCTATGTTGCGTCTAAAAAACAGATATTTTGACGCACTGGAATCGGGATTGGATGAGCAAGCTGCTGCTGCATTATTGAAAGGCGGTGCCAAATTAGCTGATGGAGAGCGATCAAAGGCCACATCAAAGACGACTATCAACTACATTAACGGATCGGTAGAAGCCGCATGTGCATTAGGTTTGGCGGACGGAATTGGTATGTAGAATCCAGTGTCCTCCACGATGAATCACAAGTTTACACGTATCTCCCTTTAGTTGACCTGGTTGAGTCGGGAGAAACAATGCGTGAGGCCAAGCTGCACGCCATCACAACTCTTCTTACATCGCAAGCGGTTCTTATCTGCAACCCCAAGAAACGAAGTACCAACCCACTCATTGAGACACTTATGCGACGTATCCAGGGTGTTATTGCAGCACAAAAGTTTGTATTATGCAACTATAACATCTCACGGGAGAGACTCCGTGAGGCCGTCCGAATCACTCCAGGTAAAAAGGCGCCTACAATCAGTCCACTGGAAAACAGCGACTGGGTTGCAGTGTCGTCAATGGTTCTCAAGGACCAGGTGGCGGATATTATGGACAGATTGGAAGCCATCGGGGCGACTGACATTCTTGTGTTCCAAATCCACAACTGTCGTGTAGTTTCGTGAACGTGTATATAGCATTAAAGTATGTATGACCGCAATAGTTTGAGCTAGATAGTCGTCGTACTCGCATCATATTAGACACATGTGCCGTTATCGCCAAAGGTTCAGTTCTAATTGGAGTTCAATCTATACATATCTACAGCGAATTTCTCCATGACCGCCACAGCGCGACCACTTTATGTCGGCTGGCTTCAGGTAATAAAGTGGGGCCGGATGTCATCACTTGGCTGTCATACCCTGCTTCCTCCTCCTGGCTCCAACTGTGATCTAACGTACGAGATGCTTTCGCAAATCGTAGAAGGAACTAAGGGCAAGGGCATTCAGAGCAAAGGAATGATAAAGAATATTATAGAGTGAGTTTGATGACAACAAATCAGTGCACAGGTAGGGCACGTCACTCACGTTTATATCTGAAAATCGTTGCCAGCAATTCGGAAGCTGCCCTTTGTCTTCCAGAGCCATTCGTAATGACTCTTCGAGGCGGAAAACCCGAACTCGATCATCTGCCACACACGTGTAAATATATGTCACTACGATCTTTTTTCATCTGGTCAGATCTGCACCCGCCGGGCGATATACCTATTTGAATTGAGAGCATCAAAGCCTCACTGAGGAGATTCCAAGGTGACAGTTGATCTTCTGTTGCTATGTCGGTATGGTCATTCTCATTAATTTGAGTAAAAGAAATATCGCTTCCCTGACACAGTGCCTTCGCTCCGACTTCAAGACAATCGCATGTCGACCATTGTCGGTCTAAGGATAAATAAATCTACGCACATGGGCGAGGTCAGGACTTGAAAAGCTTCTTATGCGAGCGGAAAAGACCGAGTAGCCTCCACTTACATCTGCGATGCGAACACATACATCGGCGTAATCATTCCATCTATAAGGGTATGCGGTGAATACGCGGAGCAAAAATTCTTTCGAAAAACCTTGTCCTTACGTACTTTAGCTCATCCTTCGCTACCGCCAAGGTTAGCCCCCCAAAAAATAGGGCTTCCAAAGGTGCTTCGATGTTCTTAGCAAAACAAAAGATTTCGAGAAAAGTCGATTGTATCTTTCGCAAAGCAACCGACTTTTTTGAGTTCGTTGTTTGTTGGTCACTGGCAGCATTCCGCGATTGAGTGGATTTTGGGGTTGTGGGCATAATGTGTTTTCGAAATATTTCTTCGCAAAATGTAACCACTTCGCCAAATGACTGGTGCTGTGAAATTCAGGTATCAGCTGAGCTTGAAACTTTCCCATTATCATGATCACTTCATATACCTCACACGCCAACACCATGGTCGTCGCATCCACGCTGTATTTGCCCTCAATTGCGTCGATATAAAGTGCAAGGGCCATGTCACAATCGTAGATCGTTAGCAATCTTGCCAGAGCGATCCGTGTAAGATACAAGGTTTCGGCAATTTGCGATGCTTTCAAGACTACGGAAGCGTTCTTTTCTGGTGTAATGGTCGGAGACGCTGCTTTCAGATCACAGAGAACCGAGATGAGTTTGGAAAGACATTGGGCAGTGTCTCGAACACATTTGTGGCTCCATAGAACTGGGATTTACAGGTGAAATAAGTGAGTTGAAAGAACCGAACGAGCGTAATCTGTCAGCGTAATACCATTTGCCGCACTCCAATATATAGTTGCAGCCAAGCCAGGATTCGCCACGGCGAGTTTATCTGCCTGTCTCACCTTTGCTGTGGCCTCTGAAGGGGTGGTTATTCAAAGATTCATCAACAGTGAAGGCGCAAATGCGTACATACCGAAAGCGGCAGCTGCCACAGGAGGCTGCTTGCTCCTCCCGCCCCGCTCTTTCTTTCGCTGAAGCTCCTTCAAGGCTGTGAGATGCCGGGCGGTCTTTTGGTGCGATGACAAAGTAGCCTCTGAAGAGAATGATTTTTTGCAGACATTGCAGAGAAGAGAATTTGGTGTTTGCGGGTTGTTTGGTGTCCCAATAGGCGCCGACAAAAACTGGACCGAAGTAATGTTGGGGCTGCTGAAACCCGTTGTGGCAAAAACTATGCAGACAGCATTTGCAAAAGGCGAAATCCAGATCAATATTTGAAGAGTTGTCACATACTGTCCGCAGTCGTAGCGACTGTTTCTGGGAGTTCGTCAAACTTGGCTTCCATGTTGAAGGAATTTCAAGTTCTTCAATTCTGCGATGCACGGAAGGACCTTCAATGCACGTGACCTAGGATGACTCATCAACCACTGGCAATGAAAGCGCTTGAATTTCCACATAGTAGATCGCTAATCTACCAAAAAGATGGACAAACGAAAACATCCCGACGTGGAAAATGGCGACTCCGAACAAGTCGATGTGGAGTCGCCTGCACGTAAAAAGGGAAAGGCCACGCCGGTCGCCGGTCCGCAAGGACTTTTTCTAGATACAGTGAACCGGTACATGCTGGACTTCGATTTTGAAAAACTGTGCTCCGTTTCGCTTTCCAACCTGAATGTATATGCGTGTTTGGTATGCGGGAAGTACTTTCAAGGTAACAATATTTCAATTTATTATTGGCGTTGTGAGGCAATGTTTTTGATTATCGTTACAGGAAGAGGGAAATCGTCACATGCCTATTTCCATAGTCTGCACGAAAATCACCACGTTTTCATCAATTTGTACACACTAAAGGTAAACACACGTCTGGCGGGTTTTGTAACGTTCCGAGATCTAATACTCTCATAAGGTGTATATCTTGCCCGACGGTTATGAGGTAACCGACTCCTCGTTGAACGATATCAAGGCACGTTCCAATGCTGAGAGGGCAAAGATGACGATATTCATATTAAATCTTACTCATCGATTTGCAGTATGTCCTCAATCCGACATTTACTCTAGAACAAGTCGCACAATTGGATAAAGTAAATCCATATTCTTACGATCTGAACAACAAGCGGTACCTTCCGGGTGAGTTGACAAAACACGCACATCGTTACGAATGCTTTGCCTAATGATTCTTTAGGGTTCGTGGGTCTTAATAATATTAAGGCGAACGATTATGTCAACGTCGTTGTGCAATCTTTGATTCACGTCCAACCGCTGCGAGATCACTTCCTGATTGACAACTCAGCGACGGGATCTGAATTAGGTCAGTAAGAATTTCAAAGAGACGCCTCGCTCGTATTATTCAAATATTGCTTATTGTTGTTCAGTTAAGAGATTTGGGATGCTGATGCGAAAAGTATGGAATCCTCGTGCTTTCAAGGGCCAAGTGAGTCCGCATGAATTGCTGCAGGTACCCAACAATTATTCCTTTCAATGAGACGTACAGTGGCTGATGCTTCGAGTAGGAAATATCAAATGCTAGTCAAAAGAAGTTCCGACTGAATGAGCAAGCCGATCCCACGGATCTTATATCATGGCTTCTTAATGCGTTGCATGCTGGCATGGGTGGAAAAAAGAAGGCAGGCAGCAGTGAGTTCTATCTGATATTTATAATAGTTACGTCTTCAGGCTCTCTAACCCATAGCAGGCCTTATTCATCGCACATTTCAGGGGGAATTAAGAATAGATTCACAGACTATTGTTGTCAAGGAGACAGTGGAGGGCGAGGAAGCCGAAAAGAAAGTTTTCGATGAATCTCGAGGTCTGTTGTAATATTTTAAATCCTGATCTCGCCGGTCCATTGATTTACATGATAATACTATCTTGTAGAAATCATATCGAAACGAAGTCCTTTTATGTTCCTGACGTTGGATCTTCCACCCCCACCCCTCTTTCAGGATGAGACCGAGAAGAACATCATCCCACAGGTAGTGTCTAACTGCATCACATGTCGCTGCAGCGGAGGCTAAGTCTTCGTAGATTCCACTAGCCACCCTTTTGAGTAAATATGATGGTGTTACAGGACAGGTATGTACTTCGAGAAACACATGGCATCATGCTTCAGGAATATGTGTGATATTCAAATGTGCATTTAGGAAAGCGGCAATATCCTACGAAGATACAAGATCACCGCCTTGCCAGAATATCTGATTTTCCATATCAAGCGCTTTACTAAGAACAATTGGACCATGGAGAAGAACCCGACTATCGTAAATTTCCCAATCAAGAACGTTGATATGTCAGATTGTGAGTCTTCTGACGTGCAGTTTATTGTAATGGAAACCGCGTAACCCATGTCAATTTAGACGTCGAAGGCCCCGACGCACTGGGAGAAACTCGATATGATCTGGTTGCTAATATCTGCCACGAGGGAAAGCCAGGACCAGGAAATGGCATATACAGAGTGCATGTGCATGACAAAGCAAAGGATCAATGGTTCCAGATACAAGATTTGTTCGTGGAGGAGATAATGCCACAGATGATATTCCTTTCGGAATCGTACATTCAGGTAATTATGCGGGCACACACAGCGGAAATCGCAGATGTAACCCCCGAATTAACTCCCATGTTCGCTCAGATTTGGGAAAAGACGAGGTCATAGTAATAGAAATCAGATACACCCAGATTCGTCCGTTTTCCTTTTGAAAATTTCGTCCACTCTTTCTCTTAGGATGCCTGAGCTGGGCCGATCCACACTGGAGTCACCTGCTTGGTGAGGGAAATGTCAGATAATCACTGTACAGATGTTTGAGTCCGCTCTATCTGATTAAAATAATTGACATATATACATGTTATTACCCACTCGCTCTCTCCATCCATCCTACCCTCCAAGAATCAATTGCAATGATATCATTCATGGATCTATTCAGTCCTTCTTTGGCGCTTCTATCTCCGAATCCAGATCGATTTGTGCAGCACCGTTCTCATAATCGCGAAAAATATTCTTCTCGTAGGGATGATCCGCATCGGCGAAAATGAACAGTCGACCCATTTGCACCTTTCGTAGATTGTTTTTAGGCAGCATGCCATATACTGCTTTTTTCAACGGCTAGTAACAAGTCCAATCAGCAAGTGCTAATTTGTACAAAAGGACAGAGTATGTACATACTCCGGTAGGATGCTCCGCTGAAAACTTATCGTATGTAAGTTCCGTGACACCTCCTGGCCATCCGCTGTGCCAGAAATATTTCTTCTGCGCGGCTTTCTTGCCAGTGAGGGCCAAGTGCCGGGCATTGACTACCACCACATAGTCACCACAGTCACCTAGATTACAAAATGTCAGCCCTACGTAGGTGGAGAAAAAGCATGTACTCAAAAGCATACTAGAAGGGTGGAAGATAGGTTTGTATTTTCCTCGCAGGGCGATGCTGATTCGCTGGGAAAGTTTACCCAGCACTTTGTCCTTTGCATCCACGAGATGCCATACTCGGCCATAAGCCAAGCCCGTCTAGCGAAGCGAATCACATGAGCCTCAAAAGCATTGTCAGAACCAGTGGTAGTTCCTGCTCACCTTTAATGACATGTTGACGGTCAATGCCAGTGTGGGTGAGATCCTGCTACTTTCAAGGTGGTGATGGTCAGACTGTTTCCATGGTCATCAAGTCACGGGATATGCTTAGTCAGCTTGCTCGATCAGCCCCAAAAGACGTGAATCGACTTTCTGGCAAACATTATGTTTTCAAGAAAAATAGACGATATTGGCAACCATACATTGCATTCTAACACTGTTTTCCTAACAAGGAAGAATATCCTGCTATGTCTAATCATTTAACGTTTCTTACGACCCAGTCCAGAGCTTCCGCAAATCGCCTGATATTGCCCGAATTTAAGCCAGCCATCGAGATCCGACCATTATCTGTCAGATAGACGTGGTACTTCTCTATTAGAACCTTCACTTGGTTTGCTAAATAAAAAAACACAGTAATCAGTCAAGTAACCAAGTTGATTTTGAGTTGACTGCATGAGACCTACCGTTCAACCCGGTGTACGAGAACATGCCGATTTGATCCACAATGTGCTTCCAAGTGCCAGGGGTACCGAGCTCAGATAGGGCGTTGAATAGCTCCCGTCGCATAGTGATAATACGATCGGCCATTGTTTTCAATTCCACCATCCTGCACGGACCCAGTCAATTCGTGAAATATTCGTAATCCTAGTTAATGCATGACTTGCCATTGTCCAAAGAGCTTCTCATCATTCAGAATCATGGATACAATCCTAGCACCAAATGCGGGTGGCATGGAGATCATGGCACGTTGCAGTTTGCAAAGCTGAGACCGTACTGCAGTTGCTTGCTCAGGCGTGCGTGTGACGACTGTCAAACATCCAGTCCGCTCGCCTTGATAATGATCCAATGTTGGCTGACGGACGATAAGAAGGGCACAAACTACTCTACACTTACCGTACAATCCAATGTTTTTCGAATAGGACTGAGCGACCAGCAACTCAAAGCCTTGTTCTACAAAGTATCGCACAGCACCGGCGTCTCGGTCCAAGTCTCCGCTGGCAAATCCTTGGTAAGCACAGTCAAAGAAAGGGAAATGTGACTTGTCCTATAATATGCGTAGGTATCGTTCCGTGTGAGTTATCGGAACATGTCGCTTTTGTTACCATTAAGGACAGCCCACCCGTATGACTTCAGCGATCAACTTCCATTCTTCAGGAGTGGGATCAACTCCGGTGGGGTTGTGCGCACAAGGGTGAAGACAGATAATGGAGCCATTTGGAGCAGACTAAAGATATATGAGATCTACTATATCTCCAAAGATCAAAGTGCACAATGTCTTCACCTTGAGTGTATCAAGCAATTCCTTCAGCGCGAGCCCCCGCACCTCGGGGTTCCAGTACGGATATTCTCTTACTTCGAGCCCAGCATCGGCAAAGATAGCTCGGTGATTTCCTTTTAACCATCAATTCCCATTACCAACGAGAACCAAAAGGATGGATAATAGAAATCCCGTCTTACCCCAAGTGGGTTTAGAAATATAAATTGGGGCCTTGCGGAACCGAGCCAGGAATGCTGCGCCGAGTCTAACGGCGCCAGATCCAGAGATTGTTTGGCAGCCAACATACTGTCGGAAGCAGATAAACGCGTGATGAACTTTCCTGGCATCACGCGTGATGAGCATTGTCGAGGGAAGAACTTACCCTGTTCTCCAGCACAGCTGGGCTGCTTTTACCTAAAATCAGCCGCACAGACGCTTCAGTAAAGGTCTTCAATCCATCGATGGGCAGGTATTCGTGATCCAGAGCTGGGTCTTCAATAATAATATGCTCGGCCTGAACAAAATAAAAGACACTCGTTACCGTGTGAAAATGACCATCATCCTCCTCAGGTGTGACATACCTTTCTGACCACAGGGAGGACCCAAGGCTTCCCCTGCTCATCCCGGTATGCTCCAACACCAAGGTTGATCTTGTGAGGGTTAGGATCCGCCTTGTACAACGTGTTCAAGTGCAAGATTGGATCCGGCGGCGCCATAGGAACATTGTTGAAGACCGATACTAGATAGCAGGGAATTGTGGATATGAGAATAACGCAAGAAAGAGGTGGGAGCCCGTATCGATGCCAAGCTTTCGAGCCTTAGGTCTGCAACGTGAAGTACTCTACACATTTACACGCTCTCGCATGCTCCTGACCCCCTAGGCTCACCTCCAGCGTCCATCTTTCCTTTCAAACCGAGGTGGGAAGCAATGGAAGAAACTCGTTCACCAGCAGTCATGATGGTTATTTGTGTCTAAGATGCGTCTAGAGCAGGTCTGTAGGTGGCCAACAAGGCTGCCCCAACTATCTCACGTGATCGTAGGAATCGCCTAATCAGCGGCTGTCATCAGCGATTTCAAGGCATCAACTTGGTGTCAACGCAGTCAACATGTGTACGAGAAGCAGGACGGATACATATACCGCAGAAGTGAATTGCCTTGTTCATTGACGGAATAGTCTGGATTGGTTATGTTGATACTCCCATCGCCGCCTGACATCGCCGCGTTCACGACAGAGACCTTTGCTCCGTGGCACGCAAATGAGGATGATTATTGACGTAGTTGGCAAGCGATCACTGGACTAGACTGGGACAGGAGAGCTCAAGACTGAGACGTGCTTTGCAGCAGCATCATGATATCTTGTCATCCCAAAAGCCAGGAGACGCTGTGTTCCGCAAGATCACATTGTACATTCCGCGATTGGTCATTGCTGGTGTCCAGTTGACCAATGGGGAGAGGATTGTGCGTTGGCATTTATGATGGCCAACGAGTGACCCTAGGCACAGTACATGTCCCTCACCGAGGGCGGTTCAACACGACAGTCCCAATGCTGAGTTCTTCTTGTATCAACATGACTTGTTAAGAAAAGTTGTCAATGGATTCATGCGCATGCTTCTGCATTGGACTGGAATATTGAAGTAGGGCCACCAACTCTACCAGTTGGCTAGTTTTCCGCACAGCTGCAGCAGACGTAACCTCAATTGCAATGTTGCGGGCGTTTGGAGGAGGCCAGTTGAACGTATCACGTGCACAATGCGGATATGGGAGCGAGCTGCTCCCAACCTTCCATTTTCTCGGCCAAGATGGCACTTCACACTGACTCTCCATCTACGTCAGCACCGATCCAGTCAAAGTCACACGTCCGTCACCCGTCATCTCGTCTCTCACCAACACAACGACGGCAACAGCGTCGCTCCCAAAAGCCTTTGGCAACAATCCATTCCCTCCCAAAGGATGTCCTTCTCCACACTTTCCACTACCTCCAACCACCGCTTACCCAGATTGCCCCTTCATCAAAGTCCCTCCCACTCCCAACTCGTCTTGTCCACGTCAAGTCTGCAACGCGATGTACCATAGCATTACCTAAGAAAGGCACTCGTTCCGTTCCATGGGAAGTCCACCTCAGTAGTGTGTGCAAGCGCTGGCGAGAAGTGTCCTATCAACTTCCTCATGCATGCATATTGGATTTGGCAGCCTATCTACCCTCTCATCGACTTGTGCGGGTCTGTCTTTCAGAAAAGGGGTTAGACCGCGCTTACGACCTCTGGGCAAATGACATTGGGCGAATGGCAGCGGTCAAAGGACTCAATATCCATATTCCTGGCGTAAGTGCTACTGGGGTAAAATCAATCTTGCGGAAGCGTGGGAGATACGGATTGGAATACATGCAGCTCATCTTCAGACGGGGTGACTGGTTGGCGACTGGAGACGGCTTTGACGCAGATATGTTCCTAAATGTGTTGCAAGAAGTCGCAGATTGGTTGGAATATGTCAACAATCAAGAAGCCGACCATGGGAGTTCACCTTCTTTGGCCGTAAGCGACATTCCGATAAGAGGACTCTCAGAGCTTCGTCTTCACTCTTATGCCACTGTTCGGACAATGCCGCCGAATCTCATCAGTCGACTGGCAATGCTGTGTGCGGGCCTAAATAGCAGTAAAATAACAGAAGCTGCTGATGACATGGACAGTCGATGCGGTGTTCTCCTCAATTATGGAACCCAGTGTATGCGTTGCATCAATTGCACGTCTCATTCTGTGACCCAGAAAAAGGCTGTGACTGGACGATCACGACCATTTGAAGCGCTACTGTCAGATTTCGAGAATAGGCATCGGAAATCTGCAGGTGAGCTACCGTAAGAAATGCTGGTAAATCGAGACACGCAAATTGTCTTCCTTATTCTTTTTCTCAAATCCTGTTCTTGTTTAGCCGTTGGATTGACCACCTTGTCGCTCAGAGGCATCTATTCCCCATACGTGATCACAGCCCATGCAGTGGATGTATCATCCCATCCTGCGCACGTTTTTGCTCGATACAATCCAACGATCAAAGCCCTGCATCTAGAGACCGGGCCTTGCGACCTTGGTTTCCTGTCAGAGAGTTTGCCGTGGCTAGAGTCTCTGCAGATAGGCGATGTCGCTACAGCCCGAGGGAATCTGAGCGGTTTTAAGGGCTTGGAGTGCTTAGAGTTGGGAAGAGAAGAGGCGCTCCCGTGGGTTCAGAATGCCGGTGAAGGCGTGACTACCAGCCCAGATGGGTATGCGGCCGGTCGTCTTCTGCGAACCTTGTCCCCTTCCACTTGTGCGCGTTTGAAGTCCCTTCACGTCTGTCGTGCACCCCTTGCCGATGTTATGCATATATTTGAGTCGGATGATAACGACGATGATAATACCCTGCATTCGGATATTAGATCCTTTCAATCCATCTATGTCACAACAATTCCTCGTCTAACAGTTGCGAATCTGGTAGTGATACTCAATTCGTCTCCTTTACTTGACAGCCTTCATGTATCAATAGATGAAAGCGCCTGTATGAACGTCGAAGTCTTGAAGAGGGCTTTCCCTCCGGCCACCAATTTGAGGAAAGTCGTGTTCAAGATGGCCGATGTGGATTATGCTATGGCATGTAGGAGGGGCCTGCTCAGGACATTGGAATATGCGAAACCTAGATGTAGGTTTGAGCTGCAGCAGGATGTGGTGTGAATCATGTTTTTTGGTATTACAATATGCATTAGCATCTGCGATTGGTAGGGTAAGATTCAGAAATTCAATATAAAATGTATTGGGCAGCAGAGAAATCTATTATATTCACAAGGTTCTCTGGCAACCTATAAGTTTTCTACACCTCGCACACATTCAAAGTACTTTGTACGGAACTTTGAATGCGCAGGGACGGCCGTTGCCGGCTCGGCTCCTCTCTCCAGATCAACTCCAACCAACTCTTCATCGCCTCGTAGTTTCTCCATTGTGATGAGCCGTCGAGCCCATTTGCCAAAATTCTGTTCGCTATTCGCAACTAGTTTGAATTTCGGATGTATTGGGACGTCTTCCGGGACATATCTGTTATTATACAAATAGTAGTGATGGTCAGTGTCGTTCAGATGGTTCGTTAGATCAATCAAAGCACCCACTCATCGGTGACTGTCGGGAGCCAGTAGACGAGCCTTCCCCCAGGAACCAGGAATGTAGCGGCAAAATCGATCAAATCGACTATCACATCGTTCATTTCATAAGGGACGGTTTGAGGATACCTCGGTTCACCGTTTCTGTATACCAGACCCTTGTAAATCGCCTTGAGAATTTGACTTGCCTTCTGGTCCAACTTACGACTTTAGTACGGTTGGTGGAGGTTTTATTTTGGGATTATTTCCGATCTTCTTCGCACCAGCACGTACACCGTATGGTGGCTACACATCATGTTAACGCCACGTACATGGGGTCGCCTCGTCGTGCCAGTGAACTTACATCGCACACTATCGCATCCCAAACTGGTTGTATTCGCCAAGGGTGATGCGCTAGCAGAGGAGTGAGTATGAGTTGTCCAACTATGTCTCAGTGCCCTAACCATACCCAAATCGCAGACCACATTATCCAGTACTCGTCCAGTCAACCCATACTGCACAGCGTTCGACTGGATGTTTCGTCTATCTGGACAGCTCGCAAACGTCAACATTCTGCACACACAAACCCAGTGCTTTCTACGACTCACCCTTTCCTCGAATTTGTCGTCCATCAATATCCGCACCCATCGTGAAGGCTCCGAAATGTGCACATGTCATTAGAAAACTGCCAGTGCCCACGAATGGGTCTAAGACAAATGATCCTAGACGAACCTAAAACATATACTGATCAGCATCATCTCGCGTAGTTGGTTAACTCCCCCATCCGGCGTCGCACCAATGCTTGATTCGCCATCACAAGCGACAACTCAGCATCCATTGATGTTGTTCCCAAATATTTTCGTTTTTTGAGGTCATATGTTGTTACCACTCCACGGTTACCGCTTGCCAGCTGGAGGAAGGGAACGGTTTCAAGTCAAAACAGTGCCTTCCGCCAAACATATTCTCCAAACATGTACCAATACTCCAAAAAAAACTCTTTTTGGTTTATTAGCCTCCCTCACCGCACCCTCTTGTGCAGATGGTTTCCCATAATCCTCGTAGTACGCGAATGTAACGTCCGGGTTCTTCAGATCAATAGGTCCCTCGAATGGAAGAAAGGAGAATCGTTCGATACGGGAGATCTGTTCGTCTAACTCGATTGTGTACCCAAAGGCTGCAACAATAAACTTGAAACTACTTTTTAGGTATGGTGCCTACCCAACAGAATTAGGTAAATTTCTGTCATCAGACGGCAAAGATCAGCCAAGTTAACAGCTCACATGCAGCTCTCGAGCATCTTTGATTGTTTCTAGTATGTCCTCAAGTGTCGGTGATTCAGCCCAAAGTCTTACAATATGTCTAGTGCATTAAAAGACGAGTCAGCATCTTGCTGCAGATATGAGAGCCTTTCGCATTTCAATTTCATACTTCACAAGTATAGATCGTTTTACAAGTTTCCGAGCGTCGTCATCATTTGGGATCTCCACCAACATGAATGGACTCTATATGCTCATTAGAAGGATCATATGAGTTCTGGACGCCTAAAGGTAGCAACTAGCTCAAAGTGGCTACTTACATCGTTGGAATATGCTGCAGGGTCATATCGCAACTCTACGGCTTCCAGTATGGCCAACGAGTCCAGCTCTGCATGCAAGGGTAAATGGGAATATCTCAAATGTATCCCACTAATCAAAACTTACCTGGAAGCCGAAATTCCATATGAAACTGAGCGAAATGTATCAAGTACGTAGGCATTGTGAATTTCAACGGTTTGGGACCAAGATCTCCATTTCCAACTTTCATCTTCTTGTATCGTGGCTTTTCACATTCTTGATGACTGTGCCATGCTTCATGTCCATGACTTTGCCATTTGCCCGTTGTGATGGCTTACGAAATTGGTTTTCCGCCCTCGCTCAATGGGAAGCAACGAAGGAAGGCGGATAATAGATTTTACATGCAACTTGGGGCATTAGCAGCCAAATCTTGTCGGGGCACACGGTGGTCCAGGAATTGGCGAAACATATAACTGTGATCGACCTGTGTCCTAATGAGCAACGCGACATGTTTATGGTTTGAGAAGCAAAAGAAGCGCTGCTAGGTCTATATTACTATTGAAGAGGTAAATATAATTCAGTAGAGCATGTCTATTTGATGGTTGGATGCACCTGCGTTTCCAAAATGCTGGGTAAACAGACCAGCACAAAGCAATCTCCATTCAAGTGTCAATCTGATCAGCTCCATTTTGAAGATCCAAATCCACTTTGTCCGAGTCCCTTGCTCAGAATAAGCGGCCGGGGATGCTGTAACCCCTACCATCTCTTGAGCCCTTTGGCGTTACAATATTCCATTAGACCTTGGGCTGTCACCATGACGCATGATATGTCATGCTAAAAGGCGGGACTGCGTAGTCCGTACACGCTTGATATCCATAGGTAAATTACTGTAATAGAGACATTGGAAGATGGCAAGGCGGGCTTTAAGATAATACTTATCCATCCGACTTGATGGTTTCTGTTGTGACATGCCACTGAACCGCCCCGCAGAGCGGGTTAATATCCCATATGATGTTTCCATCGTCTCATTCGAACGCCTCTTCCTCCTGATAGCCTGTGTCGCTTGTCAAATTGCATAACGTCCCAAACCGGTCGTTGGCCGTCGTGGCGGGAACGTTGATGCCATCATCAATTGTAACCCACCCCTGGGCCTCCATGCGTCTCCCTCCTTACAAAGCATTGTGGCTTTGACATGTCTCCCAGTTCCAGATTGCCGGGTTTATGGACACAACTCTTGGAGACACGCGAGGGAAGAACAAGCGCTGCAGAGTTGGAGCGCGTTCAGACTGGGAGAACAAGTGGTTGACCTCCCATCGGCTAGCGTTTCCATCCACCGAGTTTACAACGATCGCGACCTTCAGGCTCGTGCTGCTGCTGCTACCAGATACATTGGACCTTTATCGGTCAGCCTGCATGTGCACCTTGCGCAGTTCCCATACAACAAGCAGGTTCCGGAAACTCAATTCGGCCGAGTTTGGGCTTCCCAGACACTTTTTTTCTTTTGGTGAAAGCAAACCTGGAAAGAAAGCAATCTTTCTCGGGAGCAGACTGTAGTTGCCTCGATATCTGTCTTTTACGAAATGTCCTCATCGTCAAAGCCCGCTCCTCCACGGCCGGTGCGTTCAAAAGATGCCCGGTTGGAACAAAAGCTGGAGAATACTCTTGTTGATAGCGCAGACAGTACCAATGTCGCGTAAGTTGCATTGTTGCGTTGTGCACTCGGGATTGAATTATCCCACTTCTGGGGTTGCTAAGATGCTCTTCAAGTGGGACAGGTGTTGGTCGATTCAGGTCGGATCCACTTGGGTTTATGCTTCGACTCACATCCGAATCATCGGCTTTCTACGCGGGCGAAGTATGCGAGTCGCAATTGATTGAATATTGAGAACGGAAGTTTAATCGCTTCTCGATCGTGTCGTCTAGGGATGGCGGGCCTATCAAAACTATATCGGAAGTCGCATATTTTATCCTGAATATTCAGAGGAGATACGGAAGGCGTTGATGACATCAGAAAGGCGTATGTAATGGCCAGAACGGTGGCAACCTATTTGTCACTCACGCCGCCTCGACGTTGATATTGATATAGTGAACGATGCCGTTAAGAGGATCGCTTTACAGAGATATCGCCAGCTCCACTCAAGCGTTGCCTCGAAAGACAAGCTTGCAAAGAGGGCGCACCGTAAAGCACGAGACGTTACCTTAGAGGAAGTTGAAATAGACACACGCAAGCAACTTGTGAAGATGATGGAAGGCATGGTTGCGGATATGAATTCAATGAGAACTATAAAGTACAGGCGCGTCGCCAGAGCTGTCGTGAGCAACTCGGCTAATCCTTTTTTTGTTGCAGAGTCATCGCATTTGTCATGAATAATATGCTGGTGAGAATGTACCACCAAGGCATTCACATCCGTGAGAGCGAGTTTGTAGAGGTTAGCGGCAGAAGCTCAATGTGCATAATTAATTTATTTGCTTGTCATACTGAGCGACTGAGCGCATCAATCACAGCTACGGAAATATGCCCAATATGCGGAAAAGCATAAGTTGTCGCTGGTGTTCCTACCATCCCATAAGAGCCACGTCGACTATCTTGTTCTTAGGTAAGTTTGGGATCTGCGTATGTAGGATAAATCTGTGGGTTAATATGGTGATTCTTAAAATCAGCTATATATTTTACCGACTTGGGCTCGCCCTTCCACACATCGCGGCTGGTGATAACCTGAACATTCCCGGAGTGGGATGGTTTTTGAAACATGGTGGTGCTTTCTTCATCAGACGCCAGTGGGGAGACGACGTATTATATAATACACTGATGCGGGAATACATTGAGGTATGCGGTTACTTTTATCCTTGTGGACCACGCCGGGATTTGCTTATTTTTCATTGATAGTTACTCCTTCAACGTGGCCACAACATTGAGGTTTTCATTGAAGGCACGCGGAGTCGAATAGGGAAATTGCTTCAACCAAAGTTCGGCATACTCAAAATCATCCTGGACGCAATAGCCAGTGGCCGTGTACGTGACGCAATACTGGTCCCTATGAGTATCGGATACGATAAAGTTATTGAGACCGAATCCTACGTTAATGAACTGCTGGGCACTCCTAAAGAAAAAGAGTCGCTATTTCAGCTGTTGAACAATGTCAATATTCTTCAGGTTTGTACTACCACTCTTGGTTAACAAGACTATGTTTCGATACTCTGTGATTGAGTGCTAATGTTTGCTAATGTTTGTTTGTTCCAGTTTAAGGTAAATTTAATGTCAACGCCTGTTAGTTCTGTTCGCCTTTTCCTCAACAAGACCGCATAGTGGGGCCGTATTGATATCAGATTCGCGAAGCCATATTCCTTGAAGGAATACATAAATAGTCAAGTGGTTCGCCGCGGGTAGGCAACGCTTTCTGCAAGATGCCTGTGGTCAATCGCAAACCCTAACCTGGGCACTTTTATTCATCACAGCTCGAGCTTCAACCCTATGGGGATTCCAGAGGACAAAATACTGTTACTTCAGTCACTTGGCTTCAGGTATAAGGATATTCACGACACAATGAAGTTCATTAGCTTATGCGATTGCATGTAGGGTTCTAAGTGATATCAATTCAGTCAGCGTCACTATGCCCACAGCATTAGGTACGTTTGATGTAAACTTGCACCATTTGGGAAAGTCACATATATGACCCACGTCCTCATCATAGTTGGGACTGTGATTCTAACGCTGCGTGGCCGCGGCGTAGGTCGTGCTGAGGTTGGTTCTCGTTGAAGTACATGTCTATTTGTACCTGGCTGCTCACTTCCTCATTTAGCTAGTACGAAAAGTTAATTGGTTGAAACGTGAGATCCTAGCGAAAGGGGGCCGCGTGGCACATTTTGGCGGAATGTCCACAGCGGCTATCGTTGAAAGGTGTGTGTTCTCAGCCAATTGAATGAAAAAGGAGCCAGCTGGTTTATCTAATATGGGTGATAGAGCGATTCAACAGATGAAGGACTTGGTCGGCCAACGTACAGACCTTCTAGAACCAGTCTACTACCCCATGAAACGATTCGAACTGAGCTTTTATCGCAATCAAGTCATCCACATGTTCTTGTCTGAAGGTTTGCTAACCTTTCAGTCACTTCACACCGATTCTGTTCCACGTAGTTAATGGTGTCGCTTACTATTCTCAGCCATTCTTTCCACTGCCATGTATGCGACAGTCAAGGCAGGAGGTCCGGTCCACGCCCAACGAATCCTTTTACGACCAGCATTGCAAGAAGATGTTGCGTTCGTGTCGCAGCTTTTGAAGTCTGAATTCATTTACGGGCCTGGTGGTCTGGAGAAAAACCTGGATGAAACCGTAGATAGGCTACACAAAGCAAACGTCATCAGTATTGATGAGGACGTGGTGGCGAATGGGGATGGGGAGAATGAAGTGCACAAATGGATTACGCTGAGCGCCGAAGAGCGGCGGATTGGAAGAGAAACATTTGGTAAGTGATGCAGTTTCTGACATCCATTTGATAATCGTGACTCATGGGCGAGCGGTTTCCGTTTTCCTTTTCAAGACTTCTATTGGTATGATATATTTTCTTTTCTCATATGGGTCCGGATTGTAAACTAATGCTAGATATCGGCAGCTTTTTGATGTGGCCGTTTATTGAAACGTATTGGCTGGCAGCAGTCAGTTTGTTTTCGATTATACCAGATGCACCTCATCCTGCAGACGGTGGTAGTCCTATTCTGGAATGGGTGGATGAGCGCGTCTTCATGAATCGAGTCCAGTTCTTTGGGAAGACACTATACTACGAAGGTATGGCTGCTGTTGATGCCAGGATTCACCAGTGACCGATTTTCTGATGTGTGCATTCAGGCGATTTGTCGTACTTTGAGTCCGTCAACAAGGAGACCTTAAAGAACGCGTTTCTCCGTCTTAAGGACATGGGCGTGCTCCTCATCCGCAAGGGTCCGACACCTCCCTCGAAAACTGCGCCATATGTTGACGTGGAACCTCCAGTTCCCAAGCGGGATCCGCGCTTACCTGTACCGAGTGGAGTCGTTCCTGTGGCCCCTCCACCTGCTCCGCCTTCAGGCCCGATGATCACCTGGGTAGCTATTGCCCCTGACTACGTCCCACACGATCGCCTGCCACCGGCACCCGACGTTCCGTATGCGGAGATAGCTGCTTCCCGGGAAGTGGCCGAGGTGACCTCGTCTGCCATTGATATGCTGCAAGCGGGAACTTCTGCTGCCGCCGCGGCTTACTTGGCTGAAAAAGCCGCGAGAATACGGAACAAAGAAAAACTGGCTGAGGCTGAGCAGATGATCGAGGCAGTTGAATCGTCATCCCCACAGCAAAATGAGCCCATGTCTACCACACAAACGGCCTCCACGAACCCATCGTCATCCATAACAGCTTCTGCAGGTCCTCACCCCAGTGCGGACGGCAATGACGTCCAAGATGACGACAGAGATCCCGCCTACGAAGCATGGAACAACATCCAACCGCAATCTTCATTGTGGGACTTTTGTGAGCAAATAGGGCGGTTCCGCCGAGAGGGTAAAAACAGACGTGATACGGCCACAGTCGCCATCCGTGTCCTTCGCCTGGCAAGAGTTGCAGCTGGATGGGTGGACGCCCGGCGTGGAAAAGGAAAGAGTCGGGGCGGGGGTCAAAAGATTAAAATCGATCACACTGCAAAGATTGCAAAAACGGGCTATTATGGCGGGGATACTGCAACGAGCAAGCCACGACTATGATAATGTTTGATACGGACAATCTGTGTTTATTCGGGGTCATATTTATATTATGAACATATGAGTTTTTACCGTTGTTTTGGATATTTTTTCCTTGACGGTTGTTGTAGAATCTGAACCTTTATGCCTTTTCCAATCTTATAAAGGAGACTGTCCAAGAGAATCACCAGCCGATGAACCAAGACGCCCAGCTAAGCAAGCCACATCATGTCAGCGCAATTTGTACAAAAATGGCCATCTTCCGTCACCGAAAAAGTTGGCAATGTCCCAACATTAGATTACCTGCAGCAGGATGCCGGCAGCTAACCCACCAAGACATGTCCAGCTGTCTGTAGATAGGAGCCTATTGAATCCCAAGTGAGTTCCCAATCAAGTTCTAGATCCTCCCCATCCAATGCGAATAACCTTCGTGTAAGATTCGAAGGATACAAGCTCAAGACACATGACGGCGTCCGCGAACCCAAAACTTTCGACCTTCCGGAGCCAGTAAACATTGGCAAAGTTCCCTCCTCCACACATGCGCCATATCGAAAATTGGAGGCTCGGAGCGGCTTTAACCATTTATTTGCGTTTCCAGAGTGGGACTGTGCATTTTATGTGGATGGAGAGTACAATGTCATTCAAGTTCTGGTAAATGAGGTGGGTTTACTTGTTAAGAGAATAGCTGGAAAACCACATAATAGATCTGCTTTTGCTGATCACACCTATGTCACAGGATGCGTTCGAGCCCAGTTTTCGCACTTTGTATTCGTTCCCCGCGCCAACTCTTGCCAATGAAGAGAGAGAGTATCCGTCAATACAACGCGCTGGGCAGTATCTCTTGATAAGTAGCGGGGCAGGGTCCATTGCCGTGATTCATCTAGCCGACACCACGTCATTCCCAACTTTCATTGGAGAACTCAGGGATTTGGACCATCCGTATATCCTCACCAATGCTAAAACGACGAGTTCAGGAAATATAGTTTTTCTCGCCTACAGAACCGAAGAGCGGGAGGTAGAAGAACCGGTTGGTCATACAGCAACATCTTTCAGCAATCCCCAACAAAAGGAATTGCATCCACGCCTCTCGTTTTTCCTCAGTCTATTTCAAATCGAGAATGCAGATTTGCGGGAGGGCCGTACCGCGAACGGCAGCATTCCTGTGACCCGCTTACGGACAGTGGAAGGATTCAGTGTGCCATACTTTTCGGCTATTGAACCAGAAGGTCAAGGGTTTACGATTGCAGCCGCAATACCTTACGAAAATCCAAAACCTCGACAGGTTCCCGTTCCAGAGGAACAGCAAGAGCACCAACCACAAACTAAAGCCGAGCTTATCCGACGAGAACAGGAAATTGAGTTTGTGGAAGCCAAAAAGCTCGAGTACATGTGGACACAGACTGGAGAAGATATTATGATCACGGTCCGGCTTCCGCACATTACGCTGAAAAAGGATATCCATTGTCGGTTTGACAACCATGGGATAAAGTGTAAAATCCTTCCACCAAAAGAAGAAACAATCTTTGACGCTCGGACATTTGACAATATCGTTCCGGGAGAGTGTACCTGGACATTAGAAAACAATCGCCTTCTGACGCTGTACATACAAAAAGCGAACGAAAATACACGATGGACGCATTTATGGGAGGATGAAGACGATGTTGAAGAAACCGTTGATCCAAGTGAGCTCGCCACCTTTCGAGAAGCGTTGGAAAAGTATACAGCATCTGATGAAAATCCCGAATCCGCGTATCCAATGCAAAATGCAATGACGGAGCGATCAGAAGAAGTGGATTTTGAAGGGCATGCTGCCGTCTTTGTGCGATTTGCACGAGAAGGAGGGGAGCCAACGGCCATCAGTTTGACCGGCGGTCAAGAGTGGCTTTGTACTTGCTTTCCGTGGCGACCGCGTCAAAATGAGTCGCTAGGATCAGTCTGCTTGCGCTCGGACGTGGACGCATTGATCTATGACGTTGGTACTGAATTGCAAATGACTCATACGTCTGCATTCAATGCCCTTGGTTTCGTGCAAGCCAGCAAGCGAGACAAACGGTTCATGTTTGTCACATACGATTACCAGAAGGCCTTGATTATCGAGTCGAGACGACATGTGTACATTTACCGCCAACCCTTTGGTAACAGTGTATACGCCGACCAATATGTGGTAGACTTGGACCCTGGGCGACGAGGAGTCACGTCCGAGGACGTATTAGGAGTTCAACAAATAGGAGAAGACTGTATTGCAATTTTGAAGGAGGGATCACTGAGTTTGATACAATTGGTGACATAACAGAAATAGTATAAGTGGTCGGCAGCATATATGTATCGGAAGAATCCAGTCCCATCTTACCTTCAGATGAGGTGCGCGCCCTTAACTGATTTCTCGTAAACGAGGGCCACGGCGATACAGTACTTTTTGGGTCCTGCCGAAACCATCTTCTTTTTGGTGTGGATTCTTTCACCAGCGAAAGCTGACGGTAAATAGCTCATAATTGCTGGTGCTTGGAAGGCAGGGCCTGCTTGCTGAAATGAGATGACCTGACCAGTCGGCTTTCCATTCCTCTCATTTGCAGGATCAGGGTTGTGTATTTCATATTGATAATGACTACTCCCAGGCATATTGCGCCAACCGTCAGCAAGTTAAAGGAATTATCATTGAATGGCTACGCATGGTATTAAAAAAAACTGCCTTATATACATATGGTTGATATACTAGCGCAAAGCATTACTCCACTAACAACTGCCTCGACGGAAAAAGATTGACGGGTAAGAAATCCCATATGCGTATAGTTCCGTCCTCTCCACCAGTAATGATTTTTGTGTCAGTGAGCTGACAACAGTTGACAGCCCCGTTATGACCTCCCAGCTCATACATTTGTTTCCCACCTTCCAACTCCCAAACAATAACCTTTCTGTCTTGACTACCACTAACAATCCTCAATGAGTCCACACCGATGCACCAAACACCTTCGACGTGACCAAACAGCTTTTTGAGACACTCTCCGGTTTCGAGGCACCATATTCTGACCGTGTTGTCCAGCGCGCCTGTCACCAAAAGGCCTCCAGAATAGCTTATCCCGTCCAGCCGCGGTGGAGAGTGTGGGATGATGGCTTGCATTCCCTGAACTTGCCCGACATGGTCGCGGAAGGTCCGAATTTCCTGCCGTGTCTCTAAGTTCCACATCTTTACTGTGGCGTCATCCGAACAAGAGATCAGCCGTGTCTTATCAATGATCTGTACTTTGTTGACCCAATCCCTGTGGCCAGAAAGTGTGAAACAGCAACCAGCGCCCAAATTCCACACCCGGATTGAACCATCCACCGAGCCAGATGCGAGAATCTTGTCATTAAAATGGAGACATACAACGCCGGCCGTGTGTCCCTCGAGTACTCGTATACACTGAAAGGTTTTGAGGTTCCATATTCGGAGGGTGCGGTCCATGGATCCCGATATAATTTTTGAGTCGTCGACGTGAATACCGCGTACACATCTAGTGTGTCCCGTCAGCACTTTTATGCATTCCATCGTATCTGTGTTCCATACTCGGATACTGTAGTCATAGGATCCTGTCACGAGTAGCGATCGACATTCATCATAGTGAAGGGCCATCACACTGTCGGTGTGCCCTTTTAGCTCGCGCTGCGTGTAATTAGCTCGTCTCCAGTTTCGTTCCACCACTAGACGCTCGGCGTAAATCTCCTTCCATGGCCGTTTGTACATTCGTCGAGACGATGGCTCCGCGTTCCCTTGATGATATCTGACATCCTGATGTACCTATTTG